TATGTGTGTGTGTATATATATATATATATATATATACTTGCCCAACCCTGACTCTAACCTTAAACTAAGTTGTCTACCTAAAATTCAACAATCTAGAGCTACTTTGTGGGAACCTGTGTTTGGTCCCCAGAAGGAAGGCGAGTCCCCACAATGTTATTGGTATAGAAAAACAAAGACACACACACACACACAAAGATCCTCCACAGTCACTGGCACTGCTATGTGAACTCAACACCCTAGAGGTACAGAACATCTGGAAACAATGCATCTGCACTCTCAAACCAAGACCACACAAATGTAGACATTTTAGGATCTCTCTATAATATGAAGCATGCTCTCAGCCATCAGTGCTTCTGCCATGCAGTGCTTGAAAGACGAGAGTATAAGCTCATACAGGTTGTGGTTATTTGCAGTAATACCCTATCTGACAGAAATGCAGGGGTGCTAATATTTTTGGCAATGACTATAACAGACCAGAATTGTTCCATTTTTACAGTGAAACATAATTATTACATAAAATCATTAAGTAGGGGTTAACAAAAAAGCAGTGGAAATAAATCAGAAGTCCATTAGATAAATGCCTCTCATGTCCCAAATGTTCATTTAGACCATGTTATTAAGTAATAAGGTTAAATGATCCAAACAATGTTTATTTTGGGGGCCCATAAAAAGGAATTCACATATTTTCACAGGGTAAAAAAACAACAAAAGAATCATGTGACCACCCTGTTTCATGTGTGGATTTTAACACATGCTCAGTAAGATCAGAAGTATTCTGCTGTTTACAAAGCACTGACCTCTGGGAAAGATTAAAACTGGACATCTGTGTTTATATATATTCATGGGCTCAATAAAGTCTTATCTGAAGTACGTAAAAGTAAAAAAACAAACAAAACATTTAGCACCTGTACACACAGATGCTTTTATATTGTCATTCTACCTGCACATAACCTCTGTGACCTACACTATCAGCTCTATGTGGTCTCAGTTCCACACTATGTATGTAGCTAAGCTTCAGCTGGCTGTGGGAGCTGTGGAGTTCACATCTGGTGCAGCCCCCACGGGCTGTCCACAAACAACATATAAATCCAAAGCACAGCCAAGAAATTCAACTGAGACTTCAGAACATGATATAATACTTCCTACTTAAAGCCACAAGCATTTACAAGGGAAGTTACGAGTGCTTACTAGCCTTGAAAAGTCTACAACCTTTCATTGCAATGGAAACCAGTGAATTTGCAAACAGCTGAACAATGGTGAGATAAAGGCAACCGCTGGCTGCTCTGTGTTAATTTCACGGGCTTCAAAGTGACCTTGATTGATTACTGAATTTCATAAACAGTGTCAACAAACAGCATTTAGCAGGAGACATATTCAGCCTGTACTGCATTCACACACCATTTGTGTCAAGTATAAACCATGTGCTGTTGTCAACCAATTCTGAAAAACCTTCAGTGTAAAAGAAGCAGCCCAGCATTGCACCAGATGCCAAAAGCTGCAAGTTGTATACGAAAACAAATACAGAACATTTGTTGTGAAGGGGAAAAAAACAACCTGCATCAAAAAGAGTAACTTGGCACAAAAGCATGTTGAATAAATTAACGTATAAAACATGGGAAAAACAGTTCATACCAAATCCTGTGTTGCTGTCCACCGTAAGCCCGGACTTAAGTCTGCAAAAGACACAGGAGTTGAGCTGGAGTGATCCTGGCTGATGTGTATCTGTGAGGGTTGAGGTGGGATGACTGGAGAGCTATCACCAGAGGATGCAGGGAGAGGGGGAAACAGCTTGATTTCCATAAAAAATAAAAGAACTCACTAAAGTGAACCAATGTGTGACAGGGTGCTGAAAGAATGCAACTGAATCAACAGGCCTGCAACCTCACTGTGGCTGAGCAGAAAGAATTCAGTGCATGAGATCTGCAGAAGTACTGCACAGTATTCTACTTTGATCCAAGGTTCACGTGACGTGGTGCACAACAAAGAACAGCCAATGTGACAGTTACATTTATTTTCTTGCCAAGGAATGTACTTGACACTGACATATATTTCCTTCCTTGAGTGATTTGCCAGGATTTCACAGTAAAACTCTACCAACAGAGTATGGCTTGAATGACAAACTGACTCTATCAGACCACCAAAATAGAGCCAATGATACAGAAACACTTTATACACATGTAAAAGATTCAGAAAAGGTCAACAGTGTGTTAACTCTGTAAACAGATGCCGGCAAGACCCTATGAGAGCACATTAAAACCTGATTAAAAATACACAGCATTTATATTTGCCAGACTAAGCACAGTCTGCACCCAGGAGAACAATAATATGACTCACAAATCAAAAGGATGCCAGAAATGCATTATATTAACAAGAAAGAAAAATAAACTCTGACAAGAGCCGAGTGGAGGAGTATAACCCCAGTCGGTATTAATACACACTTGAAAAAAAGAAGAAAAGATGTGTGTATGAGTAATTATATAGGATCATATTACACTGAACTGTGCTGAGCCCAAAAGCTCATTCCATTTCAAAATGAAACCAGGACAACCACTGATGAACATCAGAGAGCTGGAAGAGCTGTGCAGGAACTAAGCACTGGGCCCGGACATTCAGTTTTCTTTTGAAAAGAGTAGAAACTCAAATGGAGACATTAAAAACATGGAAAGAACAGCAGAACATACATCGATATTAATATTAATTGATGCTTTACAAAATCTAAGTTTACATTATTGTGCAATTCCCTCAACTGCGGCAAGGCGTAGCTTGTATACAGCAGAACACAAAAATAATACACAGTTTATCTCCTGTACATGTGAAAAGGCTGGAATGAGTGGCAGAGTATGTTGCTGTGCTTCTATAGTACATATATGCAAACAGTTTTCTCTGTATTATAAAACAGAACTGGGTGGAGGAAAACTGCAGGGAAATGGAGACATCAGCAGTACATCAGTCCTGCAGAGCTCAGCTGGGGTGCATTCAGAACGGGGAGAGGCTCGGCACTTTGATGTTGATGTCTCCGATGTTGATGTTGCGAGGAATTTCAGGCAGGTTCATGTTCTTGACAGCAGAGACGGCACGAGCAGGGGCTGCTGACAGACCTCCCTGCCCAAATAGAACCACAAGCTACTGTGAGTGGAAGTCTTATGGGATTATTCACACACATCTGATGCCATAATAATCAAAGCATTAATAGCATTTTGGCATGTTTTAGTGACTTTACTACATATTGTGCATACTTTACCACCAACCATTTTTAAAGCATACCATTAAATTTGTAAAAGCAGATTACAGGAATGTTCTTCTATCGTTCCAATATAGTAAGACAATAATTTTGAAAATTTGGAGATGTGAGACTTCAGATCTGTCAATTCAAGTGCAACCTTAGTTTTGACATTTTGTTTACTTTCTTCCCAAGAGTCAGATGAGAAGAGACATACCACATTAATAACTGTCCATTAAACATGAAGCTAGAAACAGTAGCTACTTAGCTTAGCTACGTATGAAGATTTGAAGCTTGCAGACACCTGGCTTTGTCCAAAGGGAGTGACAACATTCTAGGAAATCAATGTGCCAGGCCAAAAAGTAGTCCAGCACATAACCTTGTACAAAAGTGTGTAAAGCATAACATTTTTACATTTTGTATGAATTTATAAAAACAATGTGCCATGTGCCTTCCTCAGAGCTCTGAAAATCTTTGGCCACAACTGTATATCGGAAGGTGATGTCTCCATTCTTTGCTAATGAGATCCAGATGTCTAGAACAATTCAAACAGTGATTGTTTGATTGTTTTATTTAATGTGATTAAAGTTTCAAGTCAAAGTGAATGGTAACAGTGTGGCTGGCAGGGAAGTAAAAGAAACGCACTCCTCTCTCTCTGGTATGCTTTGGAAAATAGTCAGCCGCAATGGGAGGATTACACAACATCCTGAGGTGTCCTGTCCTACTCTCCTTGTTTATAACTTTTCTCTGTGAATTCAGCACCCCACTAAACTGTGTTGTTGTTTCAAGGATGATTCCACAACTTACCATTTATGGGCTACAACATGAAAAACACATACTGACACGGTCCTCTAATATGGCTAACAGACTGACCTCTGACTTCTCCATGCGGTTCTGCACCTCCACTTGAGCTACAATCTCATTCATGTTGGTCTCCAGCACCATGCCTCCCATCACCACCTCCTGCAAGATATAATGAACCTGCAGATTGACAAACACAGCAGTTAATACACTGCAACAGCATGTACATGTCAAGTTACAGCCATTAAAACAGGTCTCTCTGCATGCTTGCTGTGACTCACACACAGAACCCAGTGCAAGCTCAGTTTGTTGTCATATAGAAAACTGAAGAATAAAAGCTGGATTAGTCACATGCTCTCTGCTCCTAATGGTTGCCAGATGTGACTGTCTGATGATTTGTGAAGATCAGCAGTTTACAATCCTGTCATGCTCAGCTCTTCTGCTTCTTTATATCAGATGATGACTACTACAAAGGTAATACTGGAGAGTTTAGGACAGAAAAGAGATATACTACAAAGGTAATACTGGAGAGTTTAGTTCTCTCTGGAAAGTAGCTCTCACTTGCAACCTATTAGGAGACAAATTCAATTTCACTCTCCAGTTCTGATTTGTAAATTCATGCAGATAGAAAAATATATTTTGGGAAAAATGAGACTCTCTTTCTCTTCAGAACTACTTTGAGGCTGAGGGCGCTCAACAGGAACAGGTGATCATGCCTGGAACACCTCTGGAATCAGTAAGGTTTAATATTTCATAATGCTACTGTACATTGTATACTGCATGAAGAGACATATGGAAAAGAAAAGAAAGCTGGTCAAACAGTCCAAGTCTGTTAAATTTGTATATAAGCATGGACAGACTAGTAAAATTAAGTCTGTTTTAAAATCCTACATATATGTAATAAGTGACGATTTTACAGTGCCATACAGGATGATGTTGTCCAGCTAACAGAGCTTTCTCAGACAAAAGTGCTCTCTCTTCATAAGTTGCATTTTGAGAACATTCCTCAGACCAAATCCCACTGTACATGACATTAATTTCCTATTGGGAAAATTCAATCAAGACGACAGAAGAGTCTCCAGTAACACTTCTAGCTCAACTACAGGGAGAGAGAAGGAGGTTCTGTTCCACCATCTCATAAAGTCATTATGAGAATAAACCTTTAACATTGATGATTTTCTTTTTATCTTTCTTTACCCAAATAACCCACCTCCTTTTAAAACAAAATGCAGCCCGCAGGCAAAGACAATTCTCACTTCTGAGGTGAAGATGTCAAGAGGAGGAATCTCAGAGCTTCTGAATCACTCTTTCAGCATCTACTTTATGATATCCGAAGCCCAGTTTGATATACAGCAATACTGGAACTCCTCAGTGACAAAACCAGCAATATCTGGACCAACTGCAGCAATGCAACTGCTCCTGCAAAGCAGCTGGCTGTTTGGTAGCAACCTGAACACACACTATTACACTGTACATTACTTCAGGGCCCTGTCTCTCTACAGTTCCTTCATAAATACAACATTTCCCTCAGTGAGCCTTTTACTGAATATGAAAAAAAACATAACTAACATAATGCTAGTTGACAGAGCATGGATAACAGGGTAAAAGTACAGTTGTTTAAAAATAAAAGATTTGGTGTACAAAGGCTTTAATGCTCCCTTAGTTTCACAGTTGCTGGTTACCTAAGGCTACAAGTTCAAAGATAGCACACTGTGCTAAGAGTTTCGCTTGGCATGTGAATCTGGACAACATATGCAGGTGAACCACATATCCATATGAGGTGGAGAAGGTGGTGATGTTTTTAATGGGTCGTCACCAGTAACATCACATTCCCACATTAGAGAGTAGCTGCCAGTAGCTACAGAGGAGAAACAACAGTGTAGGTTGTTCTGACACTGGCAAATAGCCAGAGTTCAACAGATGCTACTAACACACGAGTCAAATGCTCCAGTGGCACACACAATACTAAGGCTGTAACTAATGATTATTTCCATAATCAATTCATTGTTTAGTCTACAGAATGTCTTAAAAAGAGCAAAAAAGAAAAAAGACAGAAAAAAAAATCCCATGACATCTTAAATTTTCTTTTATTTCAATAAATAAAAAATAGTTGCAGATTCATTTTAGTTCTATTGCCTGTTGCACCTGTTCATATTTGAAGAAGTACAAATATTGCACTTTTATTTCACTGCTTGCAAACCAATGATGATAAGATGATGTTAGGGGGTAGGACTAGATAAGTCTGACTTCTTCCTACTCCGTTCAAGCATGTACTAGGTATAAGCAAATTGAAAATATATTTGTGGATATGTCTGGAATTATGTGTGATTACATATTGACTGTTGTTACATGTTTGAAAGAATAAATAAATAAATCAAATTAAATCAATAATCCATAACCAAAAGACATTCAGTTTACTGCCATATATGGTAAAGAAAAGCAGCAAATCTACTCTTTTGAGAAGCTGAGAACATTCTGAATTTCTGTGTGAAAGATACCTGAAACAATCAATTGTCAAAATAGTTGCAGATTCATTTTAGTCAGTTGGTTAAACTGATTAATATTAAATGCAGCTCAACTGTGTGAAAGACACCTGAAACAATACATTTTCAAAATAGTTGCAGATTCATTTTAGTCAGTTGGTTAAACTGATTAATATTAAATGCAGCTCACACAATAGCAATATGCAGAAAAGGTCCACCACAGAAAAGGCTCCCCTATTCCCCACTCACTTTGTCCATGTGGAAAATGAGGTCCAGCTCACAGACGTTTTCAAAGCATTTATCCAGCGTCTCCACAAACACCTACAATGAGGAGGATTTACACAAAGAGTTCATCTCTAAACAACCACATGTAGAGAACAGTGAACCTCAAATGTTGTTATTAAAAAGGGGAATAGTTTGAAGATTATTATTTGAGATTATAATTATATTTACTAGAGATGCACCAACCAATCAGCAGAGATCAGAAGTGGTCAGTTTTCAGAGTTATCAGCCTTGACCGGTGGTTTCCAATTTTTTTGCCAATCAGATTTAGAAGCACAACAGTCCATGTTTTGTACACGGCACCACAGACCATAAGAGTAGCATGTGCACAGAGGAGCATACAGAAACACCTCAGAGAAGGGGAAAACTAGTCCACAATGAGGGAATAACTGGCTACATGTAAAATGCATTTGCATGTACAGTGTATTCAACCCATAGTAAAACACAGCAAATACAAACTACACACTTGAAAAAGAAGTGTGTGCTCAGCAGTAACACATATTCTCTGTTTCTATTGCCTGTTGCACCTGTTCATATTTGAAGAAGTACAAATATTGCACTTTTAGTTGGTTTGTAAAAAAAAAGTGAAAGAAAGAAATTAAACTTTAAAACATTAATACAATGACTTATTTTTGCTAAAATTAAATTTTACATTAAAGAAAGGTTAAAGGTCAATTACAGTTCATAGAAAGCAAGGAAATTAGAATCAGCCAAAATAGGTCAGGTCAGTAAAAAATAAAAATAAAAATAAATAAAAAATCGGAAATCTGTATCGGCCAAGAAAATTGCAATTGGTGCATCTCTAATATTTACACACCAGTAGGTGCTTTTTCACATTTTAGTCCAAGTGCTAGAATTCTCCTTTTTGGTCATCTGTGCTGATAAATATCTGATGCCAGTGATCAGTGGGAGGAGTGAGCACTTTGACTCGTTTAGCCCAAAATGGTGCTGAACTTTATGAGGCATGAACTGTTTGCTGTATGTGTGAGTGACCTCTGCCTCTAATGAGCTGACAGAAGCACAGCCAAAGTTCTAATAAAGATGTGAAGCCAGATTTCAGCTCTTTGGACCATTTTAAGAGCACAAAGAAAGTGAAGTGTAGTCAGCAAACTCATGTTTCCACTTTACAGAAAATGGGATGAACAAAGAAAAATTCTGAAAAGTAACAGCAGACCTGGATCAAATCCAGAATGCCAAGCTCGCTCTCAGACGAGTCCACGCAGAAGACAAAGTAGAGGGTCGCGTAGTGCCGATAAATCAGCTTGTAATCGGAGCCGCCAATGAGACTGCAAGAATATAACAACTCATAGTCAGGACTAAGCTTTATAATCCATGTTATAAGGACAACAAAAATGACAGGCCTATTTGATCAAACAAATAAAAGCAAACTATAGTAAAAACAACTGGGTGTATGCAAAAGAGCTGATCAGAGAAGTAAAATAAGTGACCAAGGCCAAATTTCTTTTGTGCGTTTGCTTCCATCTAATGGTTAAAGTTGTGCTACTGCATCTGCAATAGCTGCTGGTTTCTGCTGCCAAGTCATGTCAGCTACTGTCATAACATCAAACATCAAAAAAAAAAAAAATAAATAAAAAAAACACACACACACACACACACACAAAAGTAGCTTAAACGTTTACAGTTCAACATCTTCTCAAAATGTCATGACATAACCTAACTCTAATTACATGTCTGCCTTTGAGCCTCTGCTAACATAAACTGAATTCTCCAAATGCAGGTAATGTCATGTTTAGTTTTCATATTACCTCAGTCTGTCCATTAAAATATACAGTATAAAGAAAACAAGCACAGCTGTAACTCACCACTAACAAACACATCTGAAAATCTTTATAGATGCCCTTTGTTCTTTACATTTTTAAAATGTGATTTTCATACAGAAGCAGACAACACTACTTGCCTTCCACCCTCCAAGAAGTTGCAGACATTGTCATCTCTCTTGGACACCAAATGGAAAGTCTCCCGAACTATCTGCTGCTGCATGTCCTCTGCCTGCAAAAAAAGATAATGACCTTCAATAAGTGATAACCACTCTAGAAAATATTACTGTGGTTAATAAATCCACCTTCAGGCAACCCCCTGTAATCTGGACTTTTTCTGATTTTTAACAAATAGTTGGCTGATTAAAAAAATGTTGCACAAGCACTTAATGGCACAAAAGAAAGTCCAATTCAATTCTGATAAAAAATTAAACTGCATTAGCTTGTAATACTGTACCAGAGCTCATGTTTCACTGTGGCTGCTGAATTTATCCACTACCATATCCTAATAAAATTTGCCCAAAATTGTCTGATTTTAATGTAAGAGCATCTAGTTTACTGGAGAGGAGTTGCTATTAATGAGCCCAAACATGGTTCCTGCAGCTATAAGCTATGAAATATAAAGATTCAAATATCACTTCGCCATGAAGTACGCAGTTACAATGTACTAATACAAAGCACATATGTTGCACATGCTTTATCTTTGTGAAACAATGTCTAAATTCTAACTGTGTTTAGAGCAGTGGTTCTCAACATTTTTCCTAAAGAGAACCTTGTTTTATCATTGAGTATGCTGATGACCTTACCCCCTTAATCACACACACACACACACACACAATTACAAATGGAAACATAGAGTACTTTTTCAAATTTCTTTTATATAGTTCATAATTTATCTAACTTATATAACAATGCAGTAAGTTGTAAGTTTGCGTATGCCTAGTAATTTTTTTCTTTTTTAAAAATTTTGAATATGATATTTCCTTTGTATACTGCAATATAGCAAATGATTATCCTTAGCCAATATTTTTAGGAAGCTGCTTCAGAATTCTATATCTGTATTACAGTTTTTTTTTTATTTCACTGACATACTGTACTTAGGTTAGGTGTCCGTGCAGCCTGTCCTTTGATGAGAGCTCTGAGCCTGTAGTACTTGAGCCAGTGATGGGATGTCCAGAGTGACTATGGTGACAGCAAAACAGAGGTCCTTGTGCACATCATGCATGTGTTGTGTGCATTTGTTTTAGTGGTAACTTGAGTCTATGACCAGCATGTTGTGATGAATGGCAAGATAATTCTGGTAGTTGTGTGAAATGCAAGTGTTGGAAGTGTCTGCTCTTTTCACAAGCCAAAATCACTTCAGAATTTGACCTGATATCCATGAGCTCATCCTCAGCTTGGAGGAATTCCACATCTGCTGAAAAAAACCCTTACACCCCTTAAAATGAAGAGGGCACATTCTTCAATTTAGTCAGCAATTACACAACAAAGAAATGTACAGCTGTTGTGATATCCCTACTTCAAGATCTCAAGGCAGCTGGCAAACGTACAGAGTCCAGTAGCCTAATTACATGTGGTGCTTCCGTTGCTGGCACATAATTCACAAAGACTGCTAAATTATGTAACTGTGGCAGTTTAAATGTCTCAAAACATTCTTCGAGGGGTCGGGAACCCCAGGTTGGGAACCAGGCAGGGGTATATTCAGAAGACAATTTTATGTTATAAGGAGATATTTTTGACTCAACAGAAAAGAACTGATTCTAACAAGAGGCTAGCCTAGAGCTTAGCTCTGGTTTACTCTCCTGCACCACTGCACGCTAGCATCCGCTAACGTTTTGAGTAAGTCATTATTGACAAATATTTGAGACAACCCACACCAACCTTTGGTAATATTTATGGTGGTGAACGGTTATACACAATCATTAAGAATAATTAAGAAAGATTATTATCAGTATGAACGAATATTATGTAAGTTAAGACTACCCTACAAAAATGCTAATGTTATGAAAGGCAACTCCAAAAATACTTACAAAATACTGATAGAATCTGATGAGTCTCGGTTTTCCATGGTTGTTAAATATCAAGATAGCTTTAATCATTGCTATTCGCTGAACTTATCAAAACACAATATGAAGTTATTATGAGAATATTAAGACTGTGACTATATCAATGACGTTACCTACAGTGCACTCTCGACACAAGCTGCCGGATGAGTGCGTCTCCACATTGAACAGTCGACTTCCAACAAATACCTCGAATGTTTCGTTCCGGACGTGTTCTTAAAACTTGAGTCTTGCTCATATATCGTAACTTTCTCTGTTGTAGCCTATGTGAGGTAAAATATGTATTTTATAACTTGTGGACAGAAGAAACTTATAACTGTTTACACTTATGTTAATGTTATATACGTGTGTTATGCATGCACTGTTGTTAGATATTAGTAAATCAGTTAGATAATTATTAGATATTAATGTGTTGAATCAGATGTGTTAGTAATGCAGTTTAGTAAGATTTAAAGTCTGCTCTAGTCTGTTTTGTTTCAAGGTTAGAAGACAGAATGCTGATTCTGAAAAGTGAACCATAGGTACTTATGACACCAATTCTTTTCCTGTATTAATCTTGTATTAGAATATTATGTCTGAACAAATGAATGAATGCCTTAGCTACACACCATGTGACAACATACACACACATTGAAATTCTTCATTTTGTTATGACTAGGTAAAAATGCAGCTGCTCAAAGCATGTGGAGGTCTAGATAAGAGATGAAGTCTTCGGATTGGCTTCATCTGGGGATTTTTTTGGTAATCTTTCTGGGTAAGGGGTTAGCCTAAACCTTATAAATGTATTAGGTTCTGTGTGGCGGGGGAACTCCACTTTCCAGCGGCCTGTGTGTGTGTCTGGAAAAGGGAGCAACCCAGGTTGTGTTTGTAATTTTGCTTGAGGTTAAAATAAACCAGCACTAGATGAAGAAAGGTAGGTAGCTAGGTACTTTATTGTTCCCTCAATGGGGCAATTTCAGTGTTTCAGCAGCAATGGAGAACAAACAACATAACACCATGAGAAACAAACACCACACGCATAGCTTTATAAACAAATTTCAGTACCTCAAGCAGCAATAGAGAACAGACAGCATAACACCATGAGAACAAGCACCGCACACACATCCTGATAAATAAATTCCAAGTACTCAAAAATAGACAGACTCAAGTATTTGAATAATCAAGAACAGAATTTACATATGTGCATATTAACCGTGCATTTTACCCCAGGATTTGAGTATTGCACCTCAGTTGACTATTACATAGTCCCTCATACTTTCACCTAGCTTATCCCTTCAGTGATGTATTGTACAGTCTGATTGCTGTGGGGAGGAACGACCTACGGTAACGCTCCTTCTTACCCTGAGGATGTAGCAGTCTTGTGCTGAAAGAACTGTTCAGAGCCACCACTGTGTGGTGCAGGGGATGGGTGGGGTGGCATGATGGATGTTAGTTTTACCAGCATCCTTCTGTCCGCCACCTCCTCGATGGAATCCAGGGGGCAGCCCAGGACAGACCCAGCTCTCTTGACCAGCTTGTTTAGTCTCTTTCTGTCCCTGTCCGTGCTACCTCTCGCCCAGCCCACAACAGCGTAAAAAATTACAAATGCCACTACAGTATCATAAAAAGTCTGAAGGAGT